TAACATACATGTCTGCTGTTGGTTGCTGTTTACTGAGCACAGTTCCAAACAACTATGACATCGTGGACATATAATGCCTGTAGACGACGCTGCAGTTGTTATAGCGACACTATTCCTTTTTCCGTGAAGTAGTTTGTCACATTTTGTTTCATTCTTTCCCGTTTCTTTCAGTCGTCTTCTATAGCATCACCGTTGTGTTTCGTGTTACGCATAATATATAAAAACTATTTGTGATAGAATTACGGTTATTATAACGTATTTTGTTTTTTACAGTAAGTCTATTCCTTTCTCTTTTATAATGGTTTCAGATTAAGAGTTCCTCCCCTGCGTCAGAAACCTATTCTGGTAGTTTTCAGATCGGTCTCTACGACAAACTTTCAGGAACGTTGGACTTGCTGAAGAATAGCCGATAGGCGGCGGAACCACTAGGCTGGGTAAGACTTAAGTCTTACCCGCATTTCCGTCCGTTCGGGTGAGCTTTATCCATTTCAAAGAAAAATTCCAATATTTAGATTCTTTTTGGACATATCTCACTTCCTGTAGTAACGTTTTTTAAAGAAAAAAAGTATAAGGGCGAAAAATGTGAAAAGTGAAAAGTGAAATGGTTTCAATTTTCTTCAAAATCAGCATAAATCCAGTCTTTTTACTGAGAATGTTAGAGAAAAAAATCGCCGCCTCCTGCAGCTTTGTCTTAATATAAAATCGATGCGATGTCGTACCTGAGCGCATTTTTAGGGTGTTTGCAGCAGCAGTCTGGGCTCCTAATTTGCCAATACTGATATCTGATTTTTAAAGAGATAAGCTCTATTATCTTAAATGCTATGAGCAATAAAATATTATGCAAAATGGTACTAGAGGAAGGAATACACGAGGCAGGCTGTCGGACCTGAACAGGGCCGAAACTATCTGACTGCTGCGTAAGAAAGCTTTTAAAAAACGTTTGGGTGGCACAGGAAAAAAAATTTTGATTCGGGAGTAGAAGTGTTAGCTGATGAAATATTCGGTGAGTGCGGCGGTGTCACAAACTTTTGCGGAACGCCGGTGCCAGCTGAGTCATCAAATTTTCTGCTGCCTTCGGCAGCGGCGGATCAGATAACACCTCATTCGCCAGCAATATCTGCGCCCCTGCACTGAAGCTCAACCTTGCCCCATTTAGAAACGTTCCGCCGCCTATGAGAATAGCTATGGTAAAGGATCCACTTCTCATCGTTCGGGAGATGTTCCTGAAATACAGTAAGGAACATCTATTGATAGCTGATATCCCAATCAGGATATATAAAAAAATTAATATCCCTAACAGTATAGTAGACACAAAAGTTCGCTGTAAAAACCATTAAGGGAGCAACGACGACGATATTCATGTAACGAAAACACTCATAAGGCACGGTGGCGCCCGTGAGTCGTGACGATTTTCTCAGAGCTTTTAGTAAAACGGCTATAACTTTTGATTAGAACTTTCCCTAGAGCTACCAGAGGTCTTATTTTGATCAGAAATATTTGCATTACAAACCAGATCGTTCCCTCAGTCCTGAATCTCACGATATAGAATATTTTCTGAAAAATCATGTTTTAGGGGCCTCTAGAAAGCTCACTGGAATTCATTTTGGGTAGGGTCAAAAGTAGCTGATCGAAAAGAGGGCACTTTGCCCTATCCAACTATGAGCTCAGCTTAATACCGACATTTCAGAAAAAAAGCATTAGTCACGGGCGAGGGTCCTTAATCAAGTTGGCTTTTTTAGAAATAGCGCTTATTACTTCTACAATGTTTGATGATAACACATTTGGACCAATGAACAAAGATATTTCTCTTGGAAATAACTTCATAGACGGTGAGCTTAACATTAATATCTATGCCGCCAGAGACTTAAACAATAAATCGTTCTTTTAAATTTCATACAATTAGAAATTAGTCTGAATACGCCAGCAAGTGAAACACTGAATCCTTTAATGCAGACACATGCAGATTCAATTGAAGACTTCTTCACGATGACGGATTCACTCGGTTAGTTATAATATTCTATATCCTATACGATTGATTGTATAGTTTTACTTTGCCTGTTTCAGTTGTGCCGGTGCTGAACGATAATCTAGCAGGTGCAGTTCAGGATAATCCTCCTAAAAGTTTTTTTCGCATATTTCAACAACTTCAATCTTTAGATTTTGTGGAAGACTTTTTATTAACTGGCTTCGTAAACGAGAGAGATAAAGAAGCGATATTTCAACCATTGAATGATATCACACTTGGCAGTAAGATATTTTTAAGATCGAAAAAGCATTGTCCATGCATTTATGAATTGTTGATTGTTTGTTCTTCTAGACACTTTTAGCATTGATAATATCAGTCAACAAATCGCTGCTTATTCTGTCGAACAACAGCCCCGAGAACAGCAAGAATTATTATCAACATCAGCAAAAATTCTAGACGATGACTGGAAGCGATCAGAGACCGTAAGTGGTTAAAATTTTTGACTTCATAAGCTTCGTGATCATTGGTTTTTGTCCTTTTCTGTTGATTCTCTCGTTGTACACTTTATTAAGGAACCTAGCATAAATGATACTACCATTAATGATACTACCACAGAAGAACAACAACTGAATATCAATGCTGCTAATATATTTGCCGGTTATACAATGAGAATGGAAAATCAGCCTGAGAGCAGCTGTCATGCACGGTATCCGAGCGACATGAAATTGCGAAGACTGCGCTACGTGCACGGTTTGAGGAACAATACAAATGATAGGAATAAGCATAAATGTGTTCCATCTGTTCAGGTGTGGAAGGATCTAATTAGTCATGCATAAGAAATATATAATAATAATAATAATAATATGTTTTCTTAAGATACCCGATATTCGTCATTTAATACCTGAGGGTTGGCATGCCTATGTCCGTGTTAGTCGCATATTGGCGAAAAAAATTACTAATATGCTCTTTCTCCATCCATATAATCTAGATTTCAATGATGTAAAGGTGAAGATGAGTCATAGCTCTTTATACGATCCGTTAGATCAAGCAGAAATGCAGCATGGTTTAAAAAAGTGAATTAATTAAGTACACATGATTTATAATTTCTTTCTAACCTATTCATATTTCAGGTTTTCAAAATTAATTATGAGTCGAATGAAACAGAATTTATTGCCCAATCAATTATTGTCATACTCACCGAATGAAATTGTATCAACACGTAAGAGCAGAACTATTAAGCTGTTTGTAGGTTAATTTCCATGGTTTTGTTTTAGATACACTACCATGTAACAATGATCAACCGAAAAAGTTAATTGAAGATCTCAGTTTAAAAACCTGTCTACTGGCATTTGATATTGTGCTCGAGACTCCGGATGGTTTATATTATCCAACTGGTATTAGCTGCGTCTCTCATGAGATACTTGAATGTAAGCAGAATGAATAATTAAATGGTCGATCCATTCAAACAGCAAAAGGCATTTTTACTTGTTCTAGTACCAGCGACGAGCAATAAAAGAAAACAAACAAGTGATGACACGGAAGAAAAAAGGAATAGTGTCGCTATAACAACTGCAGCGTCGTCTACAGGCATTATATGTCCACGATGTCATAGTTGTTTGGAACTGTGCTCAGTAAACAGCAACCAACAGCAGACATGTATGTTAACGATAAGATCGAACAAAAGAAGACGTATTCAATAAATGAAAATGAGATTTGACGTTAAATGGGTCGGCTTGAGCACGTAGGGCCACTCTTTAGCTCTTGACTGAAGGACCTCCTCCGCTGAATTCATAAATGTTAAAGAAAACGTTTACATTTGTGGGTTCAAATATAAGAATTGCATGTTTTTTCAAGTATAATTAATCTGGAAAAATTATCACTAATGTGTTTTTCATTTCTAATTAACCAATATCTTCTTGTGTTTTTTCGAAACTTTTTTAATTATTATACAATTTACAATTTACATTTATTATACTCATGAACTTGCATAAAAATTAAAAATCAATCAGCTGCTAAAGCACTTTGAACCTAAATTGGTTTAGACTCTATTAGAACTACACGCTCCGCGAACAACACTGCAATTGAGTCCGTTTTGAAGTCATTTCAAATTAGGTATCTGTCAGATATCCATCGGAACTAAATTCGTTTCGTGAATTTCTTCGACATCTTTCACACATTTTTTGTTTTTTTGAGAAAATGAGCTGAACAGTTTCTGTAGTTCCAGTATCATAATAAATGATTTTAATGTGCAATGATAGCAAGTTTGATGGTATATCCGCCATTTGTATGCGTTCGTGCCCAGCGTTATGTGGCCCTTAATATATTCACTGTTTATTTTCGGTGACTAAAGCATTTCATAATCTCTATACTGTGAGTTGGTATAAGCTTGATTCTATTAGAATACAATTCGAAAAATGTTTCATTATAGTATTCTAAACTAAAACTGTCGAAAAACATAAAATCAATTTTTGTACGAATAGAGATTAGAACACATGAACTTAGCTTTGCAGTAAACACCATTATGAGTCACTACTATGAGTTTTATGCTGATTTTGCTTAAGCCCCCAGTGGCTAGAAGCTAACAGAGACGGATTTTTGATATTTTACTTTTTAAATTAATAGTCAGCGTCAAAATATCAAAATTCAAAAAAGTCATGAACTTGTATAAAGATATTTTTCTAACCATAATCTAGATCGATATAAAATATCGGGCTCGATTAGCCTCTGCCACATTTGTCAGCTTCATTTTCAGACCTCCTCAGACTCTCCCAGATGTTTTGTTGCCGAGAAGCTTGCAGCTACGAAATGGTGTTACGGTAAAAGTCGCTTTCGAGACATCCTTGTCTCAAATTCCCAGATCGACTTCCGCCGATCGGTTCGTTTCAATTCCGGTGATTTCCGGAGTTCGGATGCCCGACCGGATCCGGAGATAGGAATCTGCTCAATTCCTTCGCTTTCTGATATTTGGTTCCTGGAGGATCCGGAGATCGCACTCGATACCCGGAACCAGTCAGATCCGTTAATTTCCGGTGAGTGGAAATTG